ATCATCATCTTTGGATTTGTTGTCTTCTTTGGACGATCCGCGACTTTGACATTTGTTTTGGCTTTGTCGCTTTTGGAGGACTTTGGTCTCTGTATTGACGATTTGATCATCATCTTTGGATTTGTTGTCTTCTTGAGACAATCCACAACTTTGACCTTTGCTTTGGCTTTGCCACTTTTGGAGGACTTTGGTCTCCGCGTGGGCGATTCGATCGTCGACTTTGGATTTGATGTCTCTTTAGACGACCCGCAACTTTGATCTTTGGTTTGTCTTTTTCGCCTCTTGGAGAGTTTCGGTCTCCGCGTGGGCGATTCGATCGTCGGCTTTGGATTTGATGTCTTCTTTCGACGATCCGGACTTTGATCTTTGAGGAGGTAGATTTGGTGCTTCGTAACGCTTTTGGCGGCATGTCCCTTTGACTTTTGGATCGAAGAGGGCCGAATTGTTGCTTTGGTGAATAATGCGATGAACACCTCGAAGCTTTGGGATGAACTTTGGATGCTCTTCCTTGGCTTTGATAGATTCCTCGACGGCTTTGAGAGCTTTGATCCTTCCACCGGCTTGGACATACAACGAAGAACGTTACCTTCATCAATTCGTCAACCAATATTGGATCATTTGTCCAAATTAGTGACTTTCGACGAAGAACGCTTCGAAGGACATGAAGAACATGAAGAACAATACAGAAACAGTCTAGAGGCTTACCCCTTTGGTTGAATCCTCGATGCAACTTCGGTGTTTCAAATGAATTGGTCATGACTCCTATTTATAGGGTATGGGTGGCATTGGCTTCCTTTTCAGATGGTGCCACGTGTATGGAATGATTTTATAATCTTTCATTTTCCATCCGATGCTGTTTTCCATTTTTGACGGATTTGATTGTGCACCTTCCTTTCTCGCCAAAATCTTTATATCATTGTCTTTTTTGGAAGATATTAATTTATATACTTCCTTTATTGACAATATTAATTTATTTTGCTGCCAAATTTATTATGGCTCTATTTATGCACGTAATATTTGTACGATATCTTCCATTTTAAGCATATTTTTTGCATTAATGCTTGATATTTATTGTACAAAAATTAACATATGTGCATAATTAAATACAATATATTTATTTTATTGAAATTTTATTTTCTTCCAAAATACATGATATTTAATTGATTTTAGACGTATATTTTTAGTGTTTACAAAATGCCCCCTCGAGACTCTTTTAAGCCGACGCAAAGCGTTTAAGGCGTGAATGAGTCTCGAAACATAAGTCAATTTTTCTTTTTGATTGATTTTTTAACATATGTGCATATTAAATACCATATATTTATTTTATTGGAATTTTATTTTCTTCCAAAATACATAATATTTAATTGATTTTAGACATATATCTCTAGTGTCTACAAAATGCCCCCTCGAGACTCTTTTAAGCCGACGCAAAGCGTTTAAGGCGTGAATGAATCTCGAAACATAAGTCAATTTTTCTTTTTGATTGATTTTTTTTTATGGCTATCCTTTTTTTTTAGCCAATATTTTTTTTTCAAATGGCTTTTTTTTTTCTTTCTTTCTTTTTTTTTTTGATGAGATTTTTTTTGTCCAATTGATTTTTTTTAAAGCTCGATTTTTTTTTGGACTTTTTTTTTGTCCAATTTATTTTTTAGGACTTTTTTTTTTTTTTGGCATAATTGACTGAACTCGGAGTTATATTCCAAGTTGCCTACATATCCGGTTAAGGAATCAAGTCATAACGTAGTTCAAAACAAATTGAATTTTTTTGTTTTTGTAAACAGTTTATTCTATGTTAAGGAGTCTTGTTAGAAAGTTTATCCTCATTCCCAGGAGATTGAAGAGAGGATTCCCAGAGATTGAAGAAAGTTTATCCTCGTTTTCAGGAGATTGTAAAAAGTTTATCCTCGTTTCTAGGAGGGCTGAAGGTATGACTGCCACCACTGTTTGGAGTGTTGTATTTTTCGTCTTCTGAGAAATCTTCAGTAGGCGGTCCATACATTCCACTAGACATCATGCTCAATTCCATATCATGAGCGCGAGTGGCGAGTTCTTCAAAAGTATGGGGTCGGATCCCTTGTAGGATGTATTTCAAGCCCCATTGCATCCCTTGAATGCACATTTCTATGCCGGAAGCCTCGGACAGACGGTCTTTGCAGTTGAGGCTTAGACTTCTCCGGCGGTTGATGTAGTCAATTACTGGTTCATCTTTCCATTGGCGGCTGTTAGTGAGTTCGGTCATGCTGACGGTTCTCTTTGTGCTGTAGAACCGATTCAAGAACTCGTACTTTAGTTGTTCCCAATTTTCGATGGAACCAGCCTCTAAGTCGATGTACCTGTCAAAGGCGTTGCCGTTTAGTGACCGCACAAATTGTTTGACTAGGAGGTCTCCATATGTTCCAGCATCGTTGCATGTCTTGACAAAGTGCGCTATATGTTGCTTTGGGTTGCCTTTGCCGTCAAATTGTTGAAACTTTGGTGGTTGATAGCCCGTTGGCATTTTGAGGGCGTCAATTCTTGCAGTGTAAGGCTTTGCGTAAGTGTGCGTCGGCCTTGAACTCCCTTCGAATTCTCTTTTGATTGCCCCCTTGATGTATTTGTCAAGTTGAGATACATGGATGAAGGAGTTGGATGATCTTTGAAATGGATTTGGTTCCGCCACCTTTTCTTTGTCATGACGCTGCTCCGCGGATGTTTCTGTTTTATTTTGGGCGACTGGGGAAGATGGTTGCTTTTCGGTTGCATGGCCAGCTTCTTCATGCTTGTCCAGTTTTATGAGAAGTTTTTCGATGAGAGCGTCTTGTTGACATCCCTTCAATGATTTTGGCCAATGCTGCAAGTTGATCTTCTATATTTGAAGCGTTGATAGTCATCACCGGAGCAGAGCTTAATGCGGTTAAATGACTTGAAATTAGCCGATGAGTAGGTGGCATGAAAGTGCCTATAAAGCTTCACAGAGCAGACTTTGATCCACAATCTTTGGGTCCTCAGTTGGGTTTGAGTCAAATATTTCAATCTGATTATGTATACAGGTTAGCACGAACTCGACACGATAATAAACGGGTGGAGTTAGGGTTGAGGCTCTTAATTCGAACTCGATACGACAATCCGGTTATAATATATTAATATTGATTAATATATTTATTATATATATAAAATAATCATAATTTAATAATTTTTTCATAAATTAATTTAAACTAAGTTCAATTTTAAATAATTCAACTTAAATTACGTTCAAACCAATAAAAACTAACATAACACGACAACAAAATAAAAAATTATTTAATTTGAATCAAAAAATTATATTTAATTATGTATACGGGTCAACACAAATCAACCCAGACCCGACACAATAATAAACGGATTAACACGAAGCCGACACGATAATAAACGAGTCAGGTTAAAATTGAATAATTTAACCCGTTTAAAGTACTCAACCCGACACGAATCGATCCGTTGCCGGCGTTAATTTGAGGCTCTAACCAACCTCATTTCCTACTCTAAAAATAAAGTATCGTAGAGTGTTACTCAATTTTTTAAATTGTATTTTTGTAATTTTGTTATTTGTTCAAAGTATATTGTGGTAATTTTATTTTTTAAACAATAATGTGTAATTTTATTTTTTTAAAATAATTTAAATATAATTTTATTTTTTCAAAAGTAATAGTGTGCAAAATTATTTTTAGAAAGTGATATGTAATTTAATTTTTTCAAAAGTAATATGTAATTTTATTTTGTGTTTGATGAATTAATTTTTTTTTTTTAGAAAATTTATTTAATTTTGAAAATTAATTTTTAAAAAACTAGTATATACCAATATTTTACATTAGCATTTTGATTTTCGTTAATTTTTTTTGTTTCTTTTTTTGTTTCTTTTTTTTAATTGTCCTTGCACTTTACCTTTATTATTTATTATATTATGCTTTTTAAATATATATATATATATATGGAAATATATATTAATTGTAATTCTCAATTCTCATAACATAGAAATAGTGATAATAATTATGTGATAACTTTTTTTGCATTAGTAAGTATTTTAATGTATTTACATTTTTGCTAAAAATTTAATTTTAGTAATTTAAAAATTTGAAATTATTTTCTTTGATATATGTAAATAATCTTATTTGTAAAATATATAAATTTATTTCAATACTATTTAATGTATTTCTATTTTTATTTTTTTTGAAACTCTACTTTTAATTTTACAAATTTAAAGTAATTAAAATATTTTCTTTTATATGTAATCTTATTTGTAAAATATATAAATTTATTACAATACTATTTAATGTATTTCTATTTTTCTTGAAATTCTAATTTTAATTTTGCAAATTTAAAGTAATTAAAGTCTTTTCTTTTATATGTCAATGATTTTAATTACTTGTAAAATATACAAAAATATTAAAATACTATTGAGTATATTTCTATTTCTGCGAAATCTAATTTTGAGTTTACAAATTTAAAATAATTGAAATTATTTTTATTTATCTTAATATTATTTTATTTTTAAAATATATATTTATTAAAATACGACTAATTTATTCCTATCTAATGTATTTTTTTTCATATAAATTTTAGTTACTAAAATTTATTATATATATTAAAATTATAAAAAAATATTAAATATAAAAAATATTTTTAATTATTATCCAACAGTGATTTAAACAAAAATGCAATGATATGTACCAGGCGAGATCACGACCGTCAATCCAGTTGTTTCCAGATAAAATCCGACGGTCAAGATTTCTCGCACCCCTATAATTATAACAAAACTTCTATTAAAAGGTCAACTCCTATTTCATTTTAACCTAACCCCTCAGTGGGCCCCACCCACGCTACCTCTTTTTTCCCACCAACCACACTCAGATAATATTCAATATTACAAAAATAAAATTATCAATCAATTATGAATTGACTATTTTACCCCTGAACAACCAAAGCCGCCCATCGACTCCACCAACTTCCCCACGTATTTATACTCAGACAACCTCGGCTTCATTTTTAAAATTTTATTGTTTTAAAAAAAAAAAAATTTGCAGAGAGCTTCAAAATCCCTAAAAATGGAGGAGACGATGAAGAAGCAAGACGACGTCGTTTTCAGATCGAAGCTTCCAGACATTTACATCCCCAAACACTACCCTCTCCATTCCTACTGCTTCGAGAATCTCCAGGAGTTCAGCTCCCGTCCCTGCCTAATCAACGGCCGGACCGACGAGGTCTTCACCTACGAAGAAGTCGAATTGACGGCCAGAAAAGTCGCCGCCGGCCTGCACAAGCTCGGAATCAATCAAGGCGAAACGATCATGCTCCTCCTCCCAAACTCGCCGGAATTCGTCTTCGCCTTCCTCGCCGCCTCCTACGCCGGCGCTGTCGCCACCATGGCCAATCCGTACTTCACTGCCGCCGAGGTCATCAAACAGGCCGCCGCCTCCGCCGCGAAGCTCATCGTAACCCAAACCTGCTACGTCGAGAAGGTTCTAGAATATTCCGCAGAGAAAGGAATCAAAATCGCGTGCGTCGACGCGCCGGCGCCGGAAGGTTGCCTTCCGTTCTCCGATCTGATCTATTCCGACGAGCGCGAGACGCCGGCGGTGAAAATCCTCCCCGACGACGTGGTGGCGCTGCCGTACTCCTCCGGCACGACGGGGCTGCCGAAGGGCGTGATGCTCACGCACAAAGGACTCGTCACCAGCGTCGCTCAGCAGGTCGACGGCGAGAATCCTAACCTGTATATTCACTCCGGCGACGTCATCCTCTGCGTTCTGCCGCTCTTCCATATCTATTCCCTGAATTCCGTACTGCTCTGCGGCCTACGCGCCGGCGCGGCGGTGCTGATAGTGCAGAAATTCGACATCGTCGGCGTTCTCGAGCTGATTCAGAAATACAGAGTGACGATCGCTCCCTTCGTGCCGCCGATCGTCCTCGCCATCGCCAAAAGTCCGGCGGTGGATCGCTACGATCTCTCCTCCGTCCGTACGGTCATGTCCGGCGCGGCGCCGCTGGGAAAGGAGTTGGAAGACGCCGTTAGAAGTAAACTTCCGAAAGCTAAGCTTGGACAGGTAACTGCTTTATTTTGTTACCATAATAAAATTAAATATTTATATAATTTTAAATTATTTTCCTTTAAAAAAAATTATAAATAATTACCCTTAGTAATCAAAATTAACACTATTCACTTTATATAATTTCAAATAGAAATATACTACACATTTCATTCTAATTAGAAGTATCAATTTTACAATTTTTAGGCTGTCTCATTTCAAAGTGTATATTTCAAATTTTAGAAAAATAATGATATATTAATATCAAAATACCTTTAATTTTTACTTAAATTACAAATAGACAATTACTTTAAATAAAAAAATAAATGACAAAAATATCAAAATATTTTACACCCTTCTGTTACTACTTAATCTACTGCAAAATAGTTCCTTTCAAAAGGGACGAAGGAAATAATTTTTTACAAAATATTATTCAAAGAAAATTTAAAATCAAAACTTAGCTTCAAATTAATTGTAAAGCGTATAAAAAAAAATACAAACAAACTATGGTCTATTCAACGGATGAATTTTTTTCCTTATTATTTTAATGTAAAATTACATTAGAAAACATGAATGATGTTTTTATTCGAATTTTTTTTACTGTTTTTTCTGTTATTTATAAAAAAAATAAAAAATAAAAAAAATAATAGTATAGAAACAAATTAAATATTTTTAATTTTAATTATATTTAAAAAAATTAAATTATATTCAAATATAATATTAGTAAGTAAACTTTAAATTTTGAATTATAAAAATAATTATTAAGTGAAATTTCCAAGAGAATTTGGAATCTTCTCGTCTCCAATTTGCTGGGAAATCAAAATCTGACTTTCATAGGCAATCTCAGCCTTATTTTTTAAGTTAATAATAATAGAAAAATGCTGTATATCTATACAAAAAAAAAAAAAAAAAAAAAATTTATTTAATTGTCTTTCAGAGAAATGACAAACAATAATGTAACATATGTTTCGAAACATATTTATTTTCTTCAATTAATTCAAATTTGAATTTTAAAAAAATAAAAATAAAATAATTGTTCGATGCAAATTTATACAGGGATACGGGATGACAGAAGCGGGGCCCGTGCTATCGATGTGTTTGGCATTCGCAAAAGAACCGTTCGAGATAAAATCCGGCGCATGCGGCACAGTGGTCCGCAACGCTGAGATGAAGATCGTCGACATCGACTCCGGCGCGTCGCTTGGCCGGAATCAGACCGGAGAAATTTGCATCCGAGGTGACCAAATAATGAAAGGTACGTGAGAACCACAATTATACATATATTTTTTAAAATTATAATAATTATTGTGATTATAATAATATTTCAATTATTTTGGGAAATGAAAATGTCACATTTTCGTTAGAGTTAGGCCAACATTAAATTTGGTCACCTAAAATAGAGGCGTCCTTTTTTGTCCCAACGTTATTTAATTTCTTATGCGGTTCGACTCCTCCACCACCAACTATATTTAAATTATACATTTTGTTATTTTAAATAAAATAAATAATTACATAAAAAAAAAACACATGATATTTATTTATATAATTAATATTTTATTAAATACTTCATTTTTTGTTTCATAAATATCCTTACTTTATATCACATTATTACTTTTACATAAAAAAAAAAAAACAAGGGCAAAAATGTCATTTTAATACTTTTAATTATTCACTGTAATTAAAATACTATTATTTTTTAAACACCGCGTCAAAAGTAAATGTTTACTTTGTATGTGGACGGAGAGAGTATATTGTATTATAAGTACCATGAATATGTATAAATGTATGTTAATAATTTCTATAATATATGTTAGTTCGGTCAAATCAACACCATGCCGACTCGGATCAACAGTTGATCTATATCCGTTGTCAGCACTATACTGAATTATAAAAATTTAGTATAGTAACCGCGGCGGCTTTTTAAAGCAATACACACCGTGGTATGATCCGCTAGTGTCTTAAAAGGAATTTTAGTTGCGTTGAGTTAAACGAGTTTTTTTTTTCTTTAACTATGGTTTTATGTAATAAAGTTTTGATCGTACTCGTGTACAGGTTATTTGAACGATCCGGAATCGACGGCGAGCACAATTGACAAAGACGGGTGGCTTCACACCGGCGACATTGGATTTATCGACGGCGAGGATGAGCTTTTCATCGTCGATCGACTCAAGGAAATAATTAAGTACAAAGGCTTTCAGGTTGCACCAGCCGAGCTCGAGGCCCTTCTCGTCAACCATCCCCATATCTCCGACGCTGCCGTCGTCCCGTAAGCCATTTATTTACTTTTAATTAAATCAAATAATTAAAATGTTTGAAATATATAGGTTCAATTTAGATAAATTTTGAAATTTTAAAATTTTTAAATATAAAAAATACTAATATTTAATATGATGTTCATCAAATTGTAAAATAACTTGAATGTGCATAAGCGGGTTTGTTTAGTTATAGTTTGAAATTAATTTAAAATAGAAAGTATTGATCTGAGTTTTTGTTTAAACAATATTTTGATACGATATTTTGTGAGAAAAAATAATAATTATTTATTTAAAGCTATACATGATAAATAATGTTAATTTTGATTCAAAATGCTAAAAAAATAAAATCATGATAAGTCTATATATAAATAATTTTTTTTGTGAGGTATAAAAAATAGTGTAAAAAATATAAAAATAATGAATATGCGCAATATATTAATATTTTTGTTAATAATGGATGTGCGTGATATATATATATTTTTTTGTTAAATATAATTTGTAAAATTGTTTTAAAAAAAAAAACAGTAAAATGTTCTTAAAATTATATATAGAAATTTATTAAAAGTAAATAAATCAAATATTTATGATTGTGTGTGTAATTACTTGCAGAATGAACAATGAGGAAGCTGGAGAAGTGCCGGTGGCTTTTGTTGTAAGGTCAAACGGGTCAACCATCACTGAAGATGAAGTCAAACAGTTTGTGTCCAAACAGGTAATGAAAAGTCAACGTCATATACTTCCTCAATTTACATATATTTTCAAACACTTCTTGGCATTATTTTGCAAATATATATATATATTACTATTAATTGATTACTTATAAAAAAAAATTTATTACATAAAAAAAAATATTTTACATTAAAAATATTATATTTAACAAATATTTGCTTTACATTAAAATTTTATTTTTTTATGAAATTTTAAAAATATTTTTAAAATGTGCGGTTGCATTAGTCATAGTCAATATATTTGCAACTACTTAGCGACTATATTTAAATCAACGTTATTTTGTACTCCCTCCGTCACAAAAAATTATAGTTTGGGTTGTGTTTGACACGGGATTTTTAAGGAATATTAATATTATATTGATAGTTGATAAAAAGTACGAGTAAAAGACTTTTTTGTCTTTGTGAGTGTATTAACATAAAAAGTAGTGGCAATTGTGTAATAATAATGAAAAAGTAAGGGTAATTTTACAGTGAGATGATTATTTATAGAAATAAGACTACTGTCTTGGGACAGATAAAAATAGTAAACAGGATTATTGTATTGGGATAGATGGAGTATATTATTATCATATGTGTTAGTTTATATATTATAGATAAATTATTTATGATTTCTTTGTGGTTCGAAAATTCGGCACTATTTTTTCTTATAATTTAAAATTTGCATGTGTTTTTCGAAATATTACACAGAATTCTCTTTTGAGGGGAGTTTATACAATAATTTAAAAAATACAATATAGTTTTATATAATTTTTAATGAATTATGTGCAATATTTTTTAAAAATATGAAATAATTTTATGCAATTTTTAAATTTAGGAAGGAGTATGGTACCAATTTTTTAAATCACATATAAATTACAAACAGTTTGGCCTATATTATATTTGTATTATTATTATTATTATTATTTCTAGTAAATGTTATTTATTTATTTATTTGTTATACATAATTTGGTGCAGGTGGTGTTTTACAAGAGGATAAATCGTGTTTTCTTCATTGACGCGATTCCGAAGTCGCCATCAGGGAAAATATTGAGAAAAGACTTGAGGACAAGATTGTCAGCTGGCGAGTTCCTCAGTTAACAAATAATTTTATATAATTTTATTTTAAAAAAAAAAAAAAAAAAAAAAACGATAAACAGAATTTACTATTTATATTACATACTATGTCCAAAGGGTTACTGTAACTTTATTTCTGGATTTTATTTTTATTTTTTTTAAAAAAAATATAATCTTTTCATTAAATGTGAATTTGATATATGGTGGTTGCTGTCTTGATTGAAAAAATTCAAATATATTTGTGATAATATATGACAAAGCAACAGTCAGTATATAGTATGCCTGTATATCTTAATGTAAAATTTTTAGATATAAAATTAATCAAGAAGTATCAAATTCAAAAAGTATTTAATCAAGAAGTATCAAATTTTGTTGATTATTACGAGCAAGCTAATCCATGAAAAATGAATAGACAATCTCAAAATGAAATGTTGAACAAAGCACATAATAATATATCATGATAAGCTATCTATATTTCAGCATGCACGACGTAAGTCCCTCAGGGTGTCTTTGTTTGAGGGATTGGATTAGATTTCTACTGTTTATCCAATTTTTTCTTTCAAAAAATATCAAATCAAACACCTATTTTTTATTTTTTATATTATACTAATAATCAAGTACTATTCTCATCATACAACTATTCAAATTCAAAATTTTTTACTATTCAAATCCCAGCTTAAAATTCAAACCTCCAAACAAACACACCCTAATGAATCTAAATGGTAAGAAGTTTTTTAATTTTTTTTTTTTTTATGAAAGAACACATGATTTGACGGTAGTAGCTCTAGGAGATCCAAAATTAATGAAGTTGATGGATATTTAGTGACGGAATTAGTTTCGAAACTCCGTCGGGCAAAGTTGTCCTGTCAATTCTATTTTGTTTAATGCTCGATTTTAGTTTCTAACTTATTTTAAACTATGAAGAGAATTATTGATTTTTTATTTGAATCAGTAGTTCGACTTTTTTGTAAGTGATTTTTGTTTTTTATAAGAACATGTTTGTTTGTTCACTTTCAACGCTTCGATTAGAGCTGTTAATCGAATGGAGCCGTTCGTGAACTCGGTTCGGTTAAAGCTCGTTCGCGAATGTTAACGAGCCGAGCCGAACGACATAAACAGGCTCGTTTGGTTGACGAACGAGCCCGAGCTTTGTTCGCGAACGATTCGTTTAAATAATATATTTATTATAAATATTATATATACATATAAAATTATAATTTATAAATAAATAAAATATTAATTTAAAATATATAAATAAAATAATTTTAAATTTTCATTATAATTTATATATAAATTTTAAAAAATAAGACAAATGAGCTCGAACGAATTCGAACGAGCTTAATCGAGCCTAAACGAGCTGAACACGAACACGAGCTCAAACAACAAAAATTCTTAACGAGCCGAGCTCGAATACTACGAACGAGCTCGAAAGCTTAACGAACGAACACGAACCTTGTTCGCGAACGTTAACGAACACTTAAAATTTGGCTCGGCTTGGATCGGATCGGATCGTTAACAGCTCTAGCTTCGATGTCATTTTAACTTTTTTTATTCCTATCGGGTTTCGGCCTATGGTTTATGTTGAGGCCCATGTATTTTAAAGCCCAATCAAAAAGCCATGCCGCATAATATTGGCCCATTAAATCATGAGATCAAATATGAGCCATTGGATGAAATGATTTGTTTCTAGCCGTTGGATCTACGTATGTGTGTGATATATGCTTGTGCGATGAATTTTGAAGAACTTGTGGTGAAGTTTTATATATATATATATATGCTACAAACGAAGAAATATATTTGGTCTGATAATTTTTTAAAAAAAAATTATATAAATAAAATTTATATTAAAAAAAATTAAGTATTTAATGTGTTATAGTAGAAAAAATATATTTCTACTTAAATATAATTTATATTTAAAAGAATAAAATAAAATATATAGATCATATTAATCTCTTCTTATATACTTCCATAATAGTTGGCACACTTTATATTTTAATCTAATCTATAACAATAGATATATTTTTTAATTTTGATAAATTTATTCATTTTAAACATAATTAATAAATATAAATCAAATTAGTTAAATTTTTGCCATCTCACATCTAAGATACACTCAAAATTCATTTGTTCTACTATTTTTTACAATAAATAAATATTTTTTTTATCTATATTTATAACTGTCTAACTTTTTATAAAATTAATATATATGAATCATAAATAAATAAATAAAATAATATTTTTTTATTTATATTATGAAACTTTATTTTCTGAAAAATAATATGTATAATATATATATATTATTAAAATATAGTGTTTAAAATATTGAATCACATATTATAATTTTTTTTAATCATATGTATTATTTTCTATTTTAAAAATATTAACAACACCGTTCAAATAATAATAATTAAAAAAAAACAACTAATAAGATAAAACTATTATTAACTTATTAGTTAATATTTATTATTTTAAATATTATATCACTAATTAAACACTCAATTATTCCTAAATAGAGTGAGTATTTTTTTAAAAAAAATTGAAATTATAAAAATATACATATTTAAATCATTATTGGATCCCTATTAAGTTCCAGAAAACATTATCTTATAATGCAGGCTAAAGCCCAAACTTAATTGGCCTACTAATTTATTTAGTTCGATAGATTATTATTATTATTATTTATTTTTTTTTTAAAATGACTATAAAAAATTATTTAGATAATATAAAAATAATAAATATATATAATATATTAATTTTTTTTTTTGAAAACATGTTATGAAGTTTTGGGTAAAAAACATAGCCCCAATGTTTTTTTTTTTTCCTAAGATTTATACCAAAATTTAAAAAACTTTTGCTATTATTTTTAAGTTTAAAATATCCTAAAAACACTACAAATCTTTCTTTATAGACACATAATTTTTTTTAAAAAAAAGAATTATAAAAATATTGTGAACAGAAAGTAAAGGTAAACGTACATAATTGATTCGGGGAGTAGTATAATTTATACTAGAGGAAACTGTTTTTTTAGTCTCGTAAGTGGAGCCTGTCGCAAATTAGTCCAATAAGTGAAAAATTTTCGTTGTTTTAGTCCTTCGGCGCCGGAGACACCCGCGTGGCTCGCCGGATGTGACTTGTCCGTCGGGTGTCATTGACCTGACGGACACGTGGATCTTTTATTTATTTTATTTATTTATTTTTATTTTTTTAAATTTTTTTAATTTATTTGTATTTTTTAATTTTTTTTATTTGGTCCAATTAAAAAAAATATAAAAAAATTAAAAGAAATGAAAAAAAAATATAAATCCACGTGTCCGCCATGTGTCGCTGACCTGGCGGGACACCTGGCGGATACGTCACCTCCGGCGAGCCACACGGACGTCTCAGGCGCCGGAGGACTAAAACAGGGAAAATTTTTCACTTATGAAACTAGTTTGCGACAAACTCCACTTACGGAACTAAAATGATAACGGGGTCCAGTTACGGGATTAAAAAAACAGTTTACCCTTTATATTAATACTAAAAAAATACACTTAATCATTATCATATAGACTTATACTAGTAATTTTTTTAGTGTTATTAAAACAAAAGTGTTTGTTTTATAATATTTTTTTATTTAAGGTATAAGAAATTATATAAATAATATAAATATAATAAATATATATATATTTTTTTTTTCCGCAAGAAGAATACAAGCTAAGTTGTTTTTATTTTTGTTTTTTAGAGTATTATAATTTATACACCTTCTGTCCAAGTTAATGGTACGAAGTTTTAGGTATTGTGTAATTAGTAAATAGTTAAGAAATATATTAGTAAAAATAATTATGATTTAATAAAAAAATTATAAATTAAAATTAAGATTACTTAAATAGTTTAATTGAAGTAAAAAATTATAAATTATGAATTTTAAAATATAATTAAAGTGTATAATTATATTTTTAAAAAAAAATGACAAATTATGTGAACAGACGAAAATATAAAAAATTGACAAATTAAGACGAAAATAAAAATAATTGACAAATTAAGTAGGATAGAGAGAATATTAATGTTATAAAAAAATATACAGTAAATCATTATCTTATATTTTTAGGGTATGTTTACTTGTGTCATTATCATCATAATTTTACTATGGAACTATGGATGTGTTTATTTTGCCAAAAATTTTCAAATTTTATTATTTAAATTTTGTATTTTTCGAAGAAAAAATATATACTCTTTTCTCTTTTTAACAAAATCAAAACTCAAAACCAAAATTTTTTATCTAGTGTGTTTAATGTTTCTGTTGGTTTTGTTTTATTTTGTTTTTATTTTTTTATTTTTTAATTTGTCTAATGGTTTGAATATTATATTTTACCTGAGAAAAATATATAATTTTTTTTTTTGTAAAAAAATGCGATTATTAATTAGTAAAAAAATTTAAACTAAACTTCTATATAACATATTCTTTGTATTTCAATCTTGTTTTTATACATATGTATACAATCAATATTAATATATATATATATATTGAAATATATTGGATTTATTTGATTTGATTTAAGATTAAATTTTTACTTTTGGTTTAAATAATATTATGATGTGATTATTTATTAAAAATCGTATATATAACGTATAATTATGATTTGGATTTGAAATCAAAATTAAACACACCAATTATTTTTTTTTTATATAGTAATTGTACTATCTAACTAATATTACAAATACCCTTACAATTTACAATATATTACACAAATGTCATTACCTTTATATCACACCATACTAATAAAGTTATTTTAGTCATTTCTACTTTATTTCTACTACGTCCCAATATAATACTATTTCCTCCGTCCCATAGCAAAGTATCTATTTTTCTATTTTAGTCCGTCTCATATCAAAGTATTCATTTTTTTTTTTAGTAACTGTACTATCTATCTAACATTACAAATTCCCTTACAACTTACAATATATTACACAAATGCCATTACCTTTATATCACACATTCTAACAAAGTTATTTTAGTCATTTCTACTTTATTTCTACTATATCTCAACATAATACTAATATTTCTAAAACTACTTGCAAAAAGCAAATTGATACTTTTTTTTGGGA